GCGCAAGTTGACTTGATGCCAGCACAAATTGACTAATTGTTCCCCATTGCTGATCATCCCTGATGCTGAGCCCCATCGATATTGAGGGTTGCATTGCGGAGACACAAAGAGCTCGCATTTGTTTCCAGTTTGGTTTGTACAATGTCTGGCTTGTTTTCTCTTAGTCATTTTTTCTTCTTTTTTTCAATCCTCAACACTCGTCGGACGTTCGGGGCTTGCTTGAGAAAATGGAACGGGGGCAGTGCCTCCAAGAATCTATTGATCCATTCTATGCTGTATGTATTATGGATCTGTCCAATGCGCCATCTAGTGTATTTTGGGCTGCTCGGACGGTGGTACCCCCTGGCCGAATCGTCATGGATTCGTTCGCCTCATCGAGCAAGGCATTTCGGCCCCAGTCCTCGTGTTGGCCGGAGATATTGACAGTCAATAAGCGTTCTTGTCTCATTTGGCAGAGTTATATCCACAGATATCGAGGGGTGAGCGAGCGACACCGGACCAGGCAATGACATCTCTCGCTCCTTTCGAGATCTTCTTGGTCTATGTCTCTAGCAGGGCTTAGCTCACCCTAGTGATGAAGTTCCGCTAGGCCCTAAGGAAAGCACGTACTAGGGGTATATGCGCTGGCTCAGATCAGTCCAGTCAGGAAACCTCGTGGGCTTTTCACGCACCCGTTTAGTCCACTCTTGGAGAGACTGAGAACGGTGGATATCAAGGATATCAATTGATTGATCCCAGCGTGCTCTGTCTCTCCCCTTGCCCTGAGAACCCAGTTGGGGCCGCCTTGGGTTGTGCCGCGATACGCTGTGGAAGCAAGTTGCAGCTTGTAGGCCCCCACAGCTGGCCCCACTTTCTGATCTTACACGCATACCGGTCTTGAATAAACAGATCGCTGATTGGTCGAGATGCCCTAGTCAAATTTTATGTGCTCTTTCAGGTAGCGAGAAAGCGCGTGCCGAGACTTAGGGGGCCAAGGGGGCCTAGCAACATCGAACACTGCAACTTTTGATGAAGCCAAAACACCCAGGCCGGAGAGAGGCGGCCATGGTGGGAGTGGGTGAAGAGCAGGGAAGAGTTGGAAAGCTCTTTCATCATCAGTGATCGACCGAACCATCCTTCAGGGGCCCTATTTCGATTGGATCTCTCTCTGACCAGGGTCACTGATAGGGGAACGAACTATTACTGTTGGAAGATACACTTTGCTAATTGAATCCTCCGGCACCTGAGATGGATGAATAGGTGAACCACACCCATGGCTGGCGGGCCAGTAACTAGGCCCCAATCCCAGCCCAGGATATTCCTGAATACTCGAAGAATCTCAGACTTGGGAATCACAGGCTCGCCCCCAAAGACTTGAAGTTGCAACCTCCAGTCCTGCGAGCTGGGTCCGGGCCACCCTCGACATTTGAACTCTGGCGGTACCTTTTCAGCTCGCGTTTGACGTTGCTTTAGGGGGTCCCTTTGCTCTGCTACTTGTACTGAAAACAACATCAACACCCCAACCTCTGGCCGAGGTGGCCCGGGTGGCTAAGAAGGAGAAGCTCTTCTATTCTCGGAACAGGTATTGCAGAATTGTCTCTTGTCCTCCCATCTCGACAGGTTCGGCATACATCCTTGTAGCTCGGTCGTTCACCAGTGGCCAACTGCCTCATGGCCAGCCACCGCGGTTGTTGAGGTCGAGGGAACCCCTACAAAGCACAAGTATTCCTCCGGGCACAAAGTAAACACCGCCATTGAACCTCAGGATGGGTTCAACGCTTGCCAAACCTGACCCATGCTTCAGCTCTACGCCAAAGTACCGGCTCCTACCTCTTTGACTCTACCCCCTTCTGAGGACAGGAAGCCCTTCTTCGGTCGAGCTGTATTTTTATTTTTTATTTTTCCCGCCCTGGGGGTGGGGGTGTTTCGGTGGAGAAGGACCAGAAGGGGCCAAACTCGCACCCTTGGGGGAAAGCTCAAGTCCTACGCAACACGCCGTCTGCCAAAGGGGCTCTCGTTCGCTTCTTGGTGTGACGCGCTGTCCTCCTTCCCCCGGTGGCATACGCATCCCCTGAAACCGCGCGGATTACACTTCCTCCCCAGACAACGATGGAGTTCACAAACGATCCGCCTCGGACACTAAGTCAGATAGTCGCCTTGCCACGACCTTCGGGTACACATGCTTCTGGTTTTCACTGGATAACACCTGGTCTAGAGACCCAGCTCGAAGCTCGTGATGGCCTTTCAGCCATGGACGAAGTACCATGAAGTTGACTTGGGGCAGGTAAATCAAAGCGGTAGACCGCACAAGTTGCAATGAATCGCCATCAGTCAGTGTGGTGGCCCCCGCCCCAATTTTCGTTAAGCATTAAACGTTCTGTTCACGGGTAGAGTGCAACATAGAATGCACGTCCACCCCTACACTATGTGCTACTGCTAATTGCTCTGTAACGTGGGAGTGGATCTCTGGGGGTGTGGGGGAGGGGTAGGGAGAGGGGGTGTGGAAATTGCCTTTGGGGCCCCTGGAATGGTCGACACCAGACGGTTCAAGCCTGATAATATGGCCTAATTGGGATGGATCTATCCTGGCTCTGATCATTGATAGATCCACGGACCATAATAGCGGATTGATGGATTGACGTTTTCTTTTTCTCACCACATCCAAATCATAAGCGCGGCGGTACCTCAGTACCGAAGGTACCAAGGTACTTCAAGTTTGGACTTGAGCTATCAACGTCCTCGATGGAAGTATTACAACACCGCCCCAGGAGAGCGAATATACAGAATCGAACAGCGCAGTCGAAACCAGCGCGGAATAACAGTGTAAAAAGTGGATTAAAGGTGACGCGCGATCTTCCTCCAAACCAGGTGGCTTCTCGATATATATATCTATTTTTATTTCTTTTTAGAGAGGAAGGGGATGGTACCCCGGCAAACCAGAACCCAATCGCTAGGCTCTCGGTTCTTGACTGTTCAACCTCCGTCAGATGCGCGAGTGCCATCGGAGAGGCTCTCCGTTGATTGAAATGCACGCAATCCGTCTTCCTTCCTACCCTCCCCCAATGAAAATGTGGAGATGGAAAGCGGAATAACGACGCGGAAATAAAATACAAATCCTTCAAGAGCGCCCCCGATAGCAAATGCAAGTACAAGTACGCGGAAATACACAGTGCGATCCAATGCTTTCCTCATTCGGGCGAGGGAGATCAACCGATAATGATATTTCGTAACCCCTTCCCTTGTTTCTCTTCTCGCACTCTCGACAGGTCTCGTTCCTACAAGGACGACATGTCGTGTTCATGTCAATACAGTCCACAGTGAACTCGAACCAAGAGCCCCCCGCCCCTCCCCTCCCCTCCTTCTGCTGCTCCTGCTCCGTCGGTGACCGACTAGAGGTCGGCCGCGAACCGTACAGGTGGTGTGTTGCAGGAGAGAACTCGGAAACCCGTTCCTCCATTCGTGCTCTGGCTCGCCAAGACGGCCGATTCTATGAATTGACGCACTTCGAGACAAGATTAAAGTGATACTGGGATGCAACTGGCAGAGGGTCTGCAGACAGTTCTGCAACATCTGCTCTGCCCCCTCGGCCCAAAGATCCACCACTACCTCGGGAATCTATGACGCCAGCTCCCTCTCTCTTAAAGTCTCGAAGCAAACAGATTGAAGACTCCACAAAAAAAAAAAAAAAAAAAAAAAGGAATTAGGGACGGTCCGGCGCAAGAGCACGGCGGGGTAGTATCCCGACACCGCGCCAAAACACTGTAATGGGTTGACGTCCTCCGTGCCTGCGTGGAAGCGAACTTGAAGAGCACCACCATTTTCCTGTGGAGTCAGCTGACCTGGTGAACGAACGGTGAAGGAACTCGGAGCAGACGAGCGAGTTTGCGAACGAGGTGAGGCGGCGCATTGGAACGGGTGACAGGAAAAGGCAAGGAGCATGGGGGAGAAAAAGAAAGGAAACAACCTAGCTGATCTGCCAAGGCCTGGGCCATGACCGACCGTTCTTGGTGCCCTGAAGCCCGAGCAGGACCCATTGACAGTTTACAGCGAGTACTGCACATTAACTTGAAGTCTCCCGATTGCCTTGTGGATTAATCTGATCAATCTTTGAAGGGGAGGGGACATTCAGTCTGGGTGTGACAGGCCTCTTTTTCTTCCCGCAGTGCTCGAGGGACCCTACAAGTAAGTTGAGGTGACCCTACCCTGCCCTGCGTCTGTGCCTCCCCACCCACCACAACAGCTCCAGGCACTCCGCGATCGATGATATTATCTCAAGTATGTTTTTCCCAGGCGCCCAAGCTGGCCACCCCTCTACGCACTCCTTGCCGGGGGCCAGTCGAAATACACACCCCTTCCCCTTAACACACACCCCCTTCCCCAAAGAACATAGAACGAGTTGAAGGAAACCAACTTGGCGTGCCATCGAGATGCTCATAAAGGCAACTGTCCCCATCAACCTTCTTCCTGTCTCCGGCTTCACTTCACCAGACCTCTCGTTATCCTCGACCCTTTACCACAGCAGCCATTCTCCACTCTTCTAAACTATATGACCCTTTCTCTACACACTGAATGATACCGATTTACACATTCATCTTGTTCCACAAAACTTATCATATATACTCTCTATATATCAAAGACCGGTTTTGTGTTCATCTTCACCACATCCTTTCGGGCCAATTTTTCCCGGAGCAGGACATCAAGCTTCCTTTTACGTCTTGTTCCAGCTACTCGCCTCCCTCCTTGCCCCTCCTCGCATCTCAGGATTTCTGTTATCCTTCTCTCAACCTACCTCGATGCGACAGTCCCTCAACCGACCTCCCAAGTTTACACTTTACGCTCCCACCACTATTCGCTCACGTGTAGAATTCGCGTCATACCTTTACCTTACAGACCGGGCCCGTTCCTTGCCTCGTTCTGTTGGAAGTTGATTCATCATCGTCACCATCCTCTCCTCGTTCCGGAAATCTTTTTCTTTTCTCTTTTGCGCTTCGTTTTGTGCTGCTTCTCCTTCGTTGCCCAGGATGTCTTCCCTATACACGGCCCACCTCCAGCAACACGACGAGCACCTTCGAGACTACTGCCAAGTAGACCCGGTGCTTTTGGAAAACGGGTCATGGGGAAACACATCACACTTTTACTCCTTCAATCAGGGGAAGATGCATAACCAGGCCGAATATGATTCGCCAAGTGACTACTGCCGGCCTTATTCCCAATCCCCGAGTTCTCCTAGCAGCATGGCGAGTCCCCATCTTGGCCCTGACCAGTTCGGCACCGAGGCAACCGGAACCCAAGAACTCTTTGGGGTGCTATCACCGGGGCCGGCAGATGGCTATAGCAATACGCACTACTTCCCCTTGCAGCGATCTCTTGAACACCCCGACGACTCCGGCCATATACCAGAAAACCAATTCGCGGACCTTGCTCAAGCTTACCATTTCCGTCTGGGGAGTCCTCTCCCAATGCCAAGTTTGGTGTTGGAAACCCCGGGGGCAGCCACTTTACCCATGGAGAAGGCTATTCCTTGCCCTCTCGCAGTCTCCACACCGGTCCGGAAACTGGCCACGATGGTTTCAGCGATGCTGGGGACATCCCCGCCAGCGGATACCAGCCTGAATACATGGACGTGGACAGGGCCTCTCCGAGCGGCCCGCAGGAGCAGCATTGACGTCGTCGACATCCAGGCCCGATACTGGGCGGAAGCGTGGCCGCCAAACCTCCAAGCTTCCGGCAAGTGCCGGTAAAAGGGCTAGAAGATCGGGGACCACATCCGAGACTTTCCAGTGCTCGACCTGCAAGGAGAGGTTTGCAACCGATGCTGTTCTCCAAGACCACCTTCAACGAGAGCACTCGCGGCCCTTGATCTGCGTTTTTCCTATGCCGGGTGCTCCTCGACGTTCGCAAGCAAGAACGAGTGGAAACGGCACGTGCTTTCCCAGCACCTCATCCTTGACTATTGGCTCTGCACCGATCCCGCATGCGTGAGGAGCCGCCCCGATACTAAGGGCACCATATTCAACAGAAAGGACCTTTACACCCAGCATGTTCGACGAATGCACGTGCCAGAACACTTCAAGGACTCGGTCAATAGCAAGTCCCCCGATCCCGCGTGGGAAGCCAGGCTCCGAGAGATGCAGATGGGGGCCCGGCAAACCCGATGCCCTCTGCCCGAATACATGCAGTGTCCCGCAGAGAACTGCCACGCCGAGTTTAAGGGTACCAGCGCTTGGGATGATCGCATGGAACATGTGGCGAGGCATCTCGACAAGCCGCATGAACCTCGGGTCGTCTTTGGTGGCACCCAAGATGACACCCTCACTAACTGGGCGGCTAGCCCCAAGGTCAACATCGTCCGTCAAGTAGGGCCAGCTAAGTGGGAACTGGTAGTCCCCCTCAAGACCACCGCGAAGGAGCTTGTGGCGGCGAGGAAGGGAAATTCTAGCATGCGGTCCCACGACTCTGATAAGGACGCAGAATGCGATTCCGAATAGCAACAGCTCGTCGTCTTCATCTTTTTTTGCTTCCCCTATCAGCATTGCTTTTCCTTCCCCGTCCCCCTTTCCCTGACCTTTTTTCGTTCTTTTCTTTCTTTTCTTTCTTTTATCTCGTGTCTCTTTCCTTTTTTTCTCTCCCACTTAATGGTCAGTTATATGATGGCTCCATGACGCCGGTCCGCATGTTGGAGATGTCCTGGAAAGGGGAAAGAAAACACTCACCAGGTTACGACACTTATGTTTACACGCACGCGAAATACCCCTTTCCTCATCTTGGATTTAATCTCGCCTTCTCCTTTTGTTCCCTTTTCGTTCCCCATTACGTCTGTCCGCGCGGCTTTGGGTGCAGAACGCATACATATAAAACAGATGCCATGATGATACAGGCTTGGATGGCATGTCTCGGCTCTAACGCATTTCTCTTCACATATATTCTCTTGGAGCCCACCCTTCTCATGCAAGATTGGTATTATCGATGTTTTCTTTTGTCTCCCTTTCACTCGGCTTGGGAAAGTTTGTTTTGGGTTTGTGATAGATTGGATTCAGTTTGCTCAGTTTGTTCAGTTTGTCTAGTACGCTCACACGTAAATCGGTGTCAAAGATTGGTTTTAGCTCGAATCGCGCAGGTCTCTTTCGATGTCAAGTCGGGTCTATCAGATCCCTCTATTTTATCTATTACATTATACTGGATGTTATTGTTTCCCGCAGTCGTGTTTTCCGCATACTTTTCCCGCATACCATACCCAATATCACCACCTTCCTGGCAATGGTGCACATATCGCTAAATACACACCGGATTTAATATTACCCTATTTATTTGGCGAATGAGCAGAACAGTCCATGGATGATAACCGCTTCCTGAGCTCAAGCTGCTGGACAGCGTCGATAGATCCGGAACCTAGAAAACTTTAGTCTGTTAACTTGTTGTAGTAATGTATTATTGATATACACTATCGAACCTGTCCACATAGGCGTGACCTTGTCAGCGGAACGGCGTGACCTAAAATCTTTAAACAACATTGAACCCTCGTTTGGCGAGAGTGCTTGTGTCACCGTTTCGGATTGAGGGACAAGATCAATTGATCTCTTGGTGTGGTGGGGCCCTTTCCCGCTAACTTGCCGACTCTGGAAATTCTCGGTGATACCGCAAGGCTCCTGTCGAGTCCGCCATGCCCGGGCGATGATGGTGTGGTGTGTTATCGTGTGCGACATGGAATAGATCTAACAATATTATAAATCTGATATATCTAGATTTATTGATTGATCAAGTTGATCTCTTTTCCTACCATACATACTCTATAAGTACACTTATAATGAATTTACATCTCATCCACCTTTGAGCCCCATCTACATGTAGTCTTTGAAATGGATCAATATCAATCTGCATGGGTAGATCTATCCCGACGACTCTGCGCCAGCATTTGATGAGCCCCGGGTCTGGACTTGGAAGGGCAGTGTCATGGTGGATGCTTAAGATCCATTCTGCCTACCCCGCCACGACCGGCACTCTTCCAATCCTCGCCGTCAACTGGACACCACCTCTCTTTGACCGGCGGTCGCGGCCGTAGCACTCCTCACACTTTGAGCAGGATTCATCTATGGATACCGGTGTATCATCCATGTAAGTACACCTCAACGTGCATGCCTACCCATGTGCACAATTTTTTTTTCGCATGACTCTCCTTTCTTGAAACCAAAGTAGGCAGTGAAGAAAGATTGTTGTCGCCGTGAAGTGTAGCCCCAGCTGATTCGATGAGTGGTAGAACCCCTTCGGCAAGGAGTGATTTACAGCGTCAACGCGGTCAGGGTTGAGTAAGTCCTTCCCTTTTTTTCTTTTCTTTTTCTTCTAATTTCCCTAGAGGGTATTTTCCTATTCTAATACCAGTTGACTAGATTGGATTTGCTGTGGAAGTTTATCCCGTCCTCCATGCCCGCAGGCTTCAATATCACGCGGCCATTCAAGGTTCAAATGAGCGAAAGATTTGGGTGCGCTCTATTGTGTCCAGTCCCCTAACGCATGAGCCCTTGCTGCCTATCTCCATTGTTTTGTTGTTCCCCTCAGCTTCTACCTCCCCACGTGGCCGCGCAAAGCCCCCCTCGTCCATCAATTTGTCTACTTTTTTACTGCCGCCAGAGTAACGTTCTCTCGACTCTCTTTGAAAGAAGGAAATTCAAAAAGAAAGAAAAACAAGGGCTGCTTAGACACCAGCCGGGGGCGCCATTCTCAAACCTCCTCACCAAGAAACAAATAGTGAGAGCTTGGGGGAGGTGGGGTATCTCGTAAAGGTCCATCAGCCACCGTTTGGAAACCCGGCCTCGCGGGGTCGTCGGGTTTCCAGTCACCAGCAGAATATTTCCTTCAGCCATGGCCGATGCCCCCACGCGGTTGAGCCAGGAGCCCGGTATGGGTGGACGTTTCGAGGAGCCAGATACTGACCAAGAGTCATCGAGCGACGAGGGCTCGCAGCTCTCGGAACCCGCTCCGCCCAAGAACAGCCGCGAGGAACCCAAAGACTGGGACTCTTCCTCCTCGGAGGCCACATCGGACTCTCTATCGCCAGAGGCTGTTCACGCCGAGGAGCTGCGGCGGGAGGAAATTCGAAAAGGCAAAGCGAAGCAAACCCCTTCGCCCACTACCGATGGCCCCTCACCGCCACCTCGCGGTGTAAACTCGCAAGGTCTCGCTCCCGGGTCATCTGTGTTGCGGGATGCGCTTGCGCCTGTTCTACCGCCGAGTGTTCTCCAAGGCCAGATTTCGTCCGAGGCACCGCCTCCCCGCTCGGGCTGGCGATGATGGCGGATCACAGCAGCTCCCATCTAGCTCTTCGGCAGAATGGACGCCTGGTGAAGGCGAGTTGGTGGAGGAAGGAGGGGGACAAGGCGGCGCTGTTTTCATCCCCTGGGGGCGAGATTCTGGTCGGGCGTTCCAGAAGCTTCCGATACGGTTCCGCGACTGCCTTGGGCGAACGTTTTTATTTCCCTGGGAAAAGGCCCAGACATGGAAGGTTAGTTGTGTCTCTCGGCCTACTGCTGCCGTGACTTGGCAACCTCCATCATTCGCGCAGCGGATGCCCCTGCTGACATGTGTCCCCCCACCTTCTAGGGAACCAAGAGGTTGATCAACGAGGCGCTTGGCCACATAGACGATATCGGGATCGAAGTCAAGGCGGGGCACTACGACCTGATTGCGTGGGAGGTCTGGGACTCCGAACAGGATGCATCCATCAACCCCAAGCTAACAAGCTACGATCAATCAACCCCGCAGCCTCAGGAGGGCGAGAGCTCTTCATCAGCACCAGAGCCGGGATTGGGGTCAGAATCCGGATCCGGGTCGGAATCAGGACCGGGGCCAGCCGAACCGCCGCCTCCCGGCTTTGTTGCCAGCGTCGAGAACGGGAGCGGCTCTCCTACTAAAGACATGGGCGTCAAGACCCGCAACGCAGTCATCCTCCCCGAACTGTGGGAATTGGTGATTGAGCCGGGCATGCTCATCTCCATGGTTCTATGGCCCTGGAAGAAGAAGAAGAAGAAGCCACCAGGCAACCCTAGTTCCTCCAACTCTGGCTGGTCATCGTTTGGCCCTTCCGGCCAAATGCAAACGATCACGGTCGGGACGGGGAGAGGGAGGGGCGGAGGCGGTCCTGTGCTACCGATGGGAAGGGGACGCGGCGCCCAACCCCCTCCTCCTCCTCCGGGCGCGCACCCGCACCCACAACCTCACATGCCTCACCCACCTCCCGGTCCAGCGCCGCCTGGAACTGGCCGAGGAGCCTGGCAGATTTTGCCACCGCCCCGGGCTTCGCCAAACACCCTCGTAGCCAGAGGCGTGGCGCCGAAGACGAGAAAGAGGCAGGGTAGGTAAATACCAAGGGAGAGCGGGCCCCGAGCGAGCCCACGCCGGGGTAGGTCCTATGGGGAACGCCATTGTCCACTGCGTCTCTTGCGCTTCCTAGCGCCGTTGGGTGATTGGAGCGAGCTTAGGCTTGTCGCTGGTTCCTCCCCTTGATCGTACAACCCCATATTCATGAACTCTAGTAGTGTATGATGATTCCCCAGTCTATCCCCCGATCATGAGTTAACTCGCCAACAGGCCCCTACCTTTTTCCCCTTCCAACCTTTCGAGGTTACGCCTAGGCCCGAACATCTGCGAGGGCATCTTTTGTCCAGGCATCCTTCTCATCACTCCTTTGCTAACTCGCAACTCTACGGTGCCTGTCAGTGGTCGAACGCCATGTTATCTACCTTCCCTTGCTGACTTCCACCATAGTATGCTACTTGTCCATTTTCCATGCTCTTAAACCTCCAGCGTCGACTCATATACGCATATATATATATACCTTGGTACAATCAGGGAATGGGACGTATCGGGATCAAGATTGTTTATTGCTGGCTACATCAAATTTATTGTATAGTTGTAGTCTGATATATAGCCGGTTTTAGGATATCTTTGGAGGGTCACGGCCTACACCATCTTCGCCAAGTTCATTGAAAAAAAAGAGAAAGAGGAAAAAAAGGGTCTATAAAATTAATCCTTGGTTTCTTGTCTCGAGGCGGTGTGTGGTTTTTTGTCCTCCTCCGATACATCGCGGCTGGAGGTAATTCTTCTGTTATCTACCTCCATCATCCATCGCCTTTGGACCTTTAGGCCTTTGGGCCCAGGAAGCGTCGGCTTGCGTCAAATGATTTCGTGATCGTATGAGTGGGTAACAATTCAAAAACTGACTTCGAACACTGGGCGCTGGGGAGGCGCCATATTGGGCTTGGACGTCATGGATCCATAGATGCCTTTGTCAATGAGCTAATCCCTTCACGGCGCCCTTGACGTTCTTTATGTACCGTCAGCCAAGGCAGAAGGTATCTACTGCCCATCGGGTTGTTCTGTAAATGGAAACCCTGGGAAGTTCCTCGCAGGATCTCACGTGGCTTGTGTTCATAGGCCGAATCATACGTGGGCGTCCTCTTGGGCGAAGCGCAGGCGAACCACGGCCTGCCAGAGGGATTGCTCAGGTACGGGAGGGGCCTCGGGGGAAATCTTGGAAGGTGGGCAGTAATTGCAGTATGGAGCCCGTTGAATCAACATGTGCTGGAGGCTTCAAGAATAAATCTGACGACACATAGTGCAGTTTCGCGGATTTTGTACAGTGGGCGCTCATCTATCTCCGTCGCACGCTGTTCACCATCGAGAAAGTGTGTCGTGTTCGTCCAATGGATGGGCTTGGACGCCTCATCAAGTAATACCTCAAGGGGTTGAGGGTTGATCTCTCTTGCTCTCGCATGTCCCGTCAAGAGGGTGTACATCAATTGATGTCCCTGATGTACATGTAGCTCATGCAAGAGTTGATGTAGTCCCTTGGGCAAGGTGAGGTACCTGTCCAAGCTGGCAAAGCTGGGCCACCTGGCGAGGAGCTTCTGGCCAGTGAGCACCCACCTTTGTTTTGACCCCAGAGCCGCGAGGCCCAATCAATCCTAGTCCTTGCCAACCTCAGTTCCCCGTCATAGCATAGTGCACGTCGTCCACCGATCTCTCTCGCAGCGAAAAAAACTTCGAGATACATCTGCGAAGGGCCGTTATTATTATGGGAGTTGACTTTCAATCCCACCCCTTCCAAAGCCTCCAAAATAATCATCACCTTTCCCTCAACCCATCACCAACTATCCAGCGCTGGTGGTTTCCATCCAACTCGAGATGAGCCCCGTCCCCTAGCGAACTAGTTGAGATCATTCGTCATCAACAAAAACATCGCCCTTTCTTTTTAGGCACTTTTTTTTTTTTCTTTCCTCCATCTCGATCGCGGCCAACCCAACATTTCGCACATCTTTCGCGCCCGATTCAACCACTCCCCCTTGATCGTCGCCGCCGTCCACCATGTTTTCCCCGGCCGTTGCCGAGGCCACTGGCCCTGCCGCGGGCACGAGAAGCCGTCGTCGTCAACGCCCGAAGAGCACGGATAGCCTCGTTCAACCCCGAAAGCAAAGCGACAACGGGTACCACTGACTGAGCAGACCTTCCTGAACCCCGATGTGCGCCCCGAGATGGCCGAGGTCAAATCCGATCGGATATCAATGATGGACGTGAAGCCTGATGGCATCGAGAATATGGCCCTTCCGAAAAGAGATGTTGGCATACGCGCGAAGAAACCCAAAGCGAGCGAAAGGGTCAGCAAAGGAGATGGGAGTGTTGTTTTGGTATGTTTTCACCTCACCGAGTTTCCCGTATTCGAATTGTTTCTTTCTTCCTCCGCGCCGCAATGATTGGGCATCTACGACGAAAAAGAATTGAAAGTAAACAATTGCTGATTCTCATTGTTACTCATCGTCTAGAGCACGAACAACGCGTACACCGTCAGCAAGCTTCCTGCGATCCCTGACCGGCTCCGCGCCGACATCACAGGTATGTTTGTCTCCGCTTGACTCCCTTTCGCATTTGTGTGGCCGCTAGTGCCACGCATAGGCAGGGGGCTAATTGTCTTTCTTTTCTTCTGTAGCATCTCAACATGGAGACGTATTTTCCGATAGCGGCTACGCCGTGACGCTTACCCACACCCACGCCATTGTGTGGCCTTACGCCTCAACGACGCCATCGCCCGAGACCTTTACTTTTGCTCTTCCCTATCCTTCGAAGAACCCCACCGATCCCTTGCCACTTGCCTCGCTTGTGGCGCCATCCGCATCCTCGACCGAACCCGGTCTTGTAGTGGTGATGCCCGTGAGTGGCCGGATAACATTCTGGGAATCCATCTCCTGTGCTGCCACAATCGACTTGATGCGCCAACAACGACATGGCGTGGAAAACGTCCTTCAAGGCCTATCCTCGGGCGAGCGCGTAATACAGATATCATCAGCCGAATCTGCGGGCTTTGTCCTAGCCCTGAGTAGCGGTCGGCTGGTTCACATGATGGTGCGCGATAGCCACGGGCGACCCGCTATCTCGGTGCGCTTCCTCGACACCAGCCTCGGGGCTTCGCCCTCCGGCATATTCGGAAGCATCCGACATGCCCTTAGCCACACCACCGGTCGCGGCGACATAGCGGCTGTTCGTGCAGAGCGCTCCAATCGTGTTGGCGAGCGGAATGTGGTCGCAGCAACCGTCAAGGGGAAGCTGGTTGCTTGGAGGTTCCATCGAGGTGGCCGGTACGACAAGCTCGTCGAAGCCGATGTGCGGGACGCCATCGTGAACGCGTTCTACAACGCCGACGACTCCGCCGCCGAATTCCCTGCCGAGTCTTTCGAGTTTATCGATTTTACCTATGTTCCCAAGGGTCTCGAGTCCAGATATCGCGATATGAGCCGCCTGAGTGACGCGATGGACTCTACCGACAATAGCGTCCAGCACCTCTTAGCTGTGGTGAGCCTCACCAAGCGCTTCAGCTCCAAGTATGCTCTAGTAGAAGTCATCCTATCTCCCCGCTCGACTGTCGTGGGAATGGTTCGGCCTATCTCCTGCTATACCACCCCCGTCAGCACGAAACCTGCGGTCAATGCCCTGCGACCTCGAATCCACCTCCCTCGGCCTGCTCTAGTCGCCTTTGTCGTATTTGACCGGGCCGCTGTCGTTGCGTCGATTGCGATACCGCCGCTATCTCCCGATTCCCAGCTCCAAGAAGATAGTCATGTAGCGCCAGACCTATACGAGGACGTCGTTGACCTCCGCGACGACAATATTTTGGAAATAATAGGCTCAGGTTTCGAAGAGCCTCCTGCCGCCACGCTTCATGACGATTCCAGGACGCCTCGGCACAAGGCCAAGAATCCAACAGCCGTCATCATGGTTCGAGGTGTCGGGATGCTGCGCATTGCGACGACAGATGTGGACAAGTTTGCGAGTGAGAAAGCTCCCCGTGTTACCGCTAAAAGCAAGCTTGAGCAGGCCGTCTTTTATGGCGTCAAGGCCGATAACCCACTCTTGTTCGACGGCCGCAGAGATGCCCAGTTTAGCCACGAGGAGCTGTCGCAGGCTGCGCTGCTTCTGAGCCAGGAAATCCTGAGCTCGAGCAACCCTCACATCGGTACCCTCCCAGTGTCTCTCGAAGAGAATCTCAAGAGCCGGGGTCTTGCGCTCGAACGACTCATTCAGTATCTCGCCTTGACCAATGTGCAAATGGAGCGTCGTATACGCTGGTCCCTTCTCTGGAACGCCGAGAAGATGGCGGTCTCGGCCGCACTATGGAAAAAGCATGAAACTTTCCTTGCCCAGCGGCCCGTCGACAACAAGAAAACTCTCATTACAGAGATTGTCGAGTACATCCATGAGGACCAAAAGACGAACCCAAATGCTGTCGTCGGCGAGGTGGACCGCGTCCGACACTGGTTCATCAACGACGTCGGGAGGCTTGACATCTTCGTCGCATGGGCGTACGAAGTCATCAAACACATGTATAAGGGCCAGACTCTTGACGATATTAGGCTCTCGTACCTCATGGAGGAGGCCGTTAGCGTGAACGTGATCACCCTCAAAGGCGGCATCGAGTTCCGGTTAAAAATCTCGCCCTCTATGGTCTAGAAAGGGAAGAGCTCGAGATGGGGATCCTAGTCGATTACACCGGTCTCGCTGAGCCCTGGACCGGGTCCCATTTTGTCTGCAACAACGCCAAGCGTCTGCTTGAGCTATGCCATCAGTGGCTACAGCAGTTTTACCCCGTCCGGGAAGACCTTCGCCAGTCTTCTTCGCGTCGACCCTCTGCCTCCATTCTCGCCGAGATCGTCGCAGATCTACCGGCTCTTACTGACCAGTACCTACTTTCCGTACTGGAGCAGTCTCGCTGGGCCTCGAGCACAACCGACGCGAAAAAGCTCCAGTGGGCTCACGTCTGCGCCGAGGCATACGAGTCGTCGCGCTATGAAAAGGTTCTTGCTCTTGAATCTCTCGAACTCTGGGCTCAGGCCATGGTCATTGCGGAGAAGCACAGGTGCTGGCCAGCACTTTCTGATGTGCTCATTGTCCAAATTAAAGCCCTTGTTACAAAGGCCGAAGACCCCACGGTAGCCGCGGAGTCGTCAGACGTGCTGATGGCCCAAGCAGAGACGCTTAGAGATCGCCTCAAAGGATACTTCGACAGGTACGGCCAGGACTTCGCTTTCGCCGCTTATGACACGTTGCTTGCGAAGGACGGAGCGGAGAGCGTCCTGGACTTCGACGGAGATGACCACGGCTACAAAACACAGTATTTGCGAAGCAACCCGTCGTTGGCCAAGATCTCGTGGATCCATGACCTTGAGGAGGAGAAGGACCTTTCCCATGCGGCGCACACCTTGCTGGACCTCGGATTGTCGAAAGAGTCGCTCTCATGGAATAAGAAGATTGAGCTTAGCCTCGGCAAACTGGCCCTCATGGCCAGCGACGCCAACCTCAGCCGGGACTACACATCACTCTCAACAAGTGCCAAAGTCAGCCCCGAAAGCGCCACAGAAGCTCAACTTTTCAAGGTTGATAGCGAGTTAGAGATCATCAAGATCCAGGACGCCTTGTTTTCCCACGTCTACGCCACGGTGGAGACGGCTGTCGATGACGCCGCCGAACTTGAGCTGGCCATGGAGACGCACGCGCCTGACATGCCCAAGAAGTACAAGATTTTCCACCAGCTCGTCGAAACTGGCATACGTCGACTTCTCAAGCACGAGGTCCTCGACCCGCTCACACTCATCGACGTGTTGACCTTGGCTAGGTTTGACGAGGCGTCGGACATTGGCCAGGAACGCTTCTTCCTAGCACTTTGCGTGGCCCATCTTGCCCTTAGCGGAGAGGAGTATAAGCAGACGCGGAGGCTCATTTGGAGGAGGTGTTATATCCGCGATGACTGGGTCAAGATCAACGACACCCAGCGCAAGGCCGACGTTGAGGTTGCCACTGTTATCGCCAACACCACCCTCTTCAACACCTGCGCGGCTTGTTTCGGAAACTGTAAGTTGTGCCTATAATATAAACCCCTCGAGTTGATACTCTCATCTCAATCTCATGCCCCCGGCCCCTTCTTTTGGTAGGACTAAAAGATTAATGGGGTTTCGAATACTAACGCTGTGACGACTTATAGATCAAGATCTCAATGAGCACTTCAAGTCTCTCAACCCCTCTGAGTGTCTCCATGTCTACTCCAACGAATTCGATCGCCGATTCAAGGATGTGGACAAGAGCTTCCAAGATAAGCTTGTGGATGCCATGAAATGGGAGGATGTGCAACTGCGCAGATATCTCGACAAAAGCCGTCTTGTGGAGTGGGCGCAAAGCACAGAGAGGGAAGCTCGCGACATGGTTAACGGCCTTCTCGATGACACCCTCGCTAAGAAGCTTGCGGCCACCCGAGTACACGTCGAGGGTGATGCCGACGATGACAGCTCCATGCTGGACGCAAACGGCTCCGCCATGATGTGAGGTGAAGCCAAGAGACGAGGCGTGTGCTGATTCCGCAACTTTGCAACATTTACAATGTCTATATCGTATCTTCTTTTTTCTTGTCTCTCTCTTTTTTCTTCCTCTGGACATCCCATCCCCCTTGTCCTAACTTCTCCAACTCTCCATCATGAGCCTCGGCTGGCTCTCTTTTTTTTTCTTCCTAACTCTGTCTCTTTTCTTTTGTCTTTCCTCTCTATTGGGCATATTCGGCATGGAACACAAAAAAACAACCAGTCTCCGACTTGGTCACTCCCTCTCCTCGTTTCCCACTCTTATCATCTCATGGCTTTTCTTTTGTCGGGCTTTAGTTAATATCTCTTTTTGACGTTTGCTTCTTTCAGTGTTTCTTCTCTGCAACTAGACTGGAAGAGATTGAAAGTATGCAAATATTGGGTTAAGCAGACCCCAGATACAATACATGGTACACACTGAATCTGCCAAGAAGGGTCAGATTGGCGTGTTCTTTCCTTAGACCTGCTCTCTGCGTCTCTCTCTCTCTCTCTCTCTCTCTCTCTCTCTCTCTCTCCTATCTTTTTACGGGCAGTTTTCATGCTCAAGTACGTCATGGAATTACTCTCGGGCTGTTGTCTGATTTTTGAACGACTAGCCTCTTCGTGGCAGGTTGGGTCTGTGTTGTTACATATCCCGGTTCTGTATAACTTACGTGTATGATAGATTTTCTAAGTGTACATGCAGATTTGGGTATGTCGAAATCGACCTCGTTTTAGACGAGTTACACTGAGACACGCTCGCGTGTGTGACTCCCGCTGGTCTCGGAATTGTCTCCGTTTAGACGCGCCGCCTCTTCCTGGCTTCGTTGTGTATGACCAATCTGATATTCTTGACATGAGCACGAATGAGGGTAAGATAGGGTGTTCCGGTGCCGTGTTAGCGGATGAGCAACTGTTTCGCTCTTCGCTTGGTGGTATATGTTACAACTCGAGGCTCATGCAAAACGTCACTATCGTAGAGAATCGGGGTGTAGATTGGACTTGAAGGCACCGCCAACATGTCATCAAACCTAGATAGGTAGACGGCAGCGAAGGATGTAAAAGGTTCAACGATCGAAGTTGAGGGCTCTGGGCGCTCTAACTACAATCCCTGTGCGCACGGCAGCGGATGTCCCCTTGGCCACTAAGCTAGGTTTTTATTCAACGAGAGGTTCGCGTTTGCTAGACTTGATCTAGCCATGAGGAAGGTCGTGATCAAATCGCTTGCCGAGGCTAAGACAGGGAGGGATTCGTTCGAGATCAATCATGGATCGTTGCGGCTGGCCATCATGGGGCACGGTAAGATTAAGCGCGGGTGGGTCATTTCTAGGTCCAATCTGGTATGAAAAGCACCTACAAGTACGATCGGAGGGCGGTGCTGCGAAAAAAACATACATTGAGAGGCTCTCGGCTTGGCATGTGATGCTGGTGAACCGAACCTGCTGGCCTGGCCAGGAACCCCCGGATTTGGGAGCAAGCACGACGTCGCAGCTCGGGATCTTCCACTGCACAGCACTAATGCACCGCCGCTGAAAGGCAGCCTGCATTGATGTTTTTGAGGGTATCAATTATAGGTGGATTGATCAATGGCCCAGGACGGGTGCACTGGTCGGGATGGTCGTTGCACGTGAGCACACCAGATCACCCATTTGCAATAATATATGATGGATTTCCATCGTTGTTCTTTTTCGGAATATCTATATATTTGATAAATCAGACATCGATAACACTATAAGTGCACATATCTCTCTCTCTTCCTTGAAAAATGCCGATTAATTGGATGTTTTCCCTCCCAATCCTCGCGAACGATGCCTCGCCGTGCTGAGATCCTCGATGCCGGTATTAAGCTCGACCCCCTATATTTCTTTGTGGGTTGAATGTGTTTAGAGGTCAAGCCCGCTCTAGCATTATTAGATCGGGTATCAATGGATCAATAGATCCATTGTATGGAGATACACGGCGGTGGTGGTGTGGGGGCAGCAGCAAGCATTGATCAATTCATCAAAAACAAGGGATGGGATCAAATCAATCAACGAATGTCATCCTCCAAATGATATGTACGTATCATCCATCTACCATGCAATGGATCCCTTCTTTCCCAATCACGGCGAGCGCGAGAGCTAGTCTTGGCCCTTGCTCCTTGTACCCTTCTATCCTGCTCTTAGCTCGAACCCCCGAGACAGGAGAGTTTCTTCCCAACTTCCCATTCGAGATGTGGCTAGGAAAGCCAGTCCGCCAGTATCCATCATGTAGCCTCAACGAAGTAGCCCCAAATCGATGCCAATACCCTCGGGCCGAAAATCCTTTTTCCACTCCCGCCCTCTCTCATGTCGAGTGGTTCTTCTGGTGACTGTTGGTGTTGGCAGTGGTGCTCAATGATCTTGAGTATCCCCTGATCAAATTGATCTGAGTACCCGCCGAGATTAGGAGGTTCCGTGCCCCATCAACCTCGATTAGCTCCTGAGATTTCCGCGCTTGTTGGCGGCGTCCCCCCATAAGCTTGCAAGGAGACCCCGGATTCTACCTCCTTCGGGAATGACCGCCGACACCGTTGGTGCTATCATGGGGACATGATAAATGTAGTCACCACCATCCTCACGCACTCGACCTGCCCTCTAAAGAATTGATGGGGGCGATTCAATGTTCGGGCCACGAGTAAGCTGCCGTGAGCCAGTCAAGTCCGCTTGTCTGGGGCGAGAGTAAACGAGCTGACTTTCCTCCGAGGGTAACACTATCGAGAAAAGGACGGAAGCGATCCAAATTTTATTTCATCTTTATTTTTATCCGCAAGTAAGATTGGCAAGTTACACGAGGAGGGCAGAACTGGAGAGGAGAGAAAGAACGGAGTGAATGAACCACATTGGCGAGTTGAGATCCATTCTCGGGAGGAGGGAGAAAGAAAAAAGGATGCAGAACCAGGCGAAAAGTCGACATCTCCATGTACGGGATGTGTCCATCCATGGATCTGAGCCATCTCCTGTGCATCTTGGAGATTATCCCCAATCTTGGCTTCCCGACAAGTAACTGGACTTGGCCGACTGTCAATCCATTTACAGGTGTTTACTCAAGCTCTGGGCTCTGTTCCTGCTTTTAAATGAAAAGGGGACAACGACAACCTCTTTGAGGTGTGTGCGGTCATTGTCAAATGAGGTGACAGATCAAGCCAGGGCTCAGGGCAAAGTGAAACGAAAGTGAAGAAAACAAGACGAAGGAAATGGATTGGTGCTGGGGACATGGTGAGGTGATGCAGGAGCTTTGAGTTGTGCGGAATACATGTACGGATGTAAGCTGGAATTGAATCATCGCGTCTTGGACAGAGCTCAACGAGGACCCCCACACACCGAGTCGGCGATTTGGGCTTTTGGGCCTGGGGGCTCCTATTTCCGATATGGATACTCTCTGGATGGGAACATCGTTTGGCATGTGGTGAGAAACGAGGCCTTCACAAGCGCATGTTGACACATTTTTACCCCAGGATTGTTTGTTTGGTTTGCGTGGATAGAGCTCGTAATCCCCTTGGGTCTGAGCCGGACGTGCAGGGGAAGGAGAGAAAGGGGGTTCATCGCCCATGCGGGAAGCAAACACCTGAGACTTGAACCAGCCGTCAAGTGTGACTGTCCTGGACGTGGGACGGCAGCGGGTGGTTGGCACAACGGCAGATGATTCTCCGCCAAGCACCTCACACACACGCACACACAGACACAGACACACCCGTCAAGCCTGGTGCACTGAACACTCTTCCTATAATGCATTGAGGGTGATAATACCCGAGAAATGCGGAGCCGGCTCGAGTGCGACCTTTTGGGGACGAGGACAACTCGAGATTATTATCTGGCGGGACCAGGGAAAACGCCTGGGATCGACGGCCTCTTTGTCACAGGCGGCATGTTTCTTTTCTTAACGCTGATCAATTGAAGCCAGCCACCATGAGGCGAGGACAGGCCGTTCATGCCATAAAACGCTGCCCCCCGCGGCGAGGCCGCCTCGTGGCGAGCAACTCTATCCGATGGCCCTCTTCGGCGGCACAAGGCGTATCCGACCCGGCCAGGCCCTACCACCTGTCGGCTTCAATAATGTCATTGATTCGGCGCTGGCTGATACTTTTCCCGCCTGCCCTAAAACGATGGATTTCTCCTTCGTCTCGGGGCGCCGCCCAGCGGTGCCGCGAAATGTGAACGCGTCGGGAGACGGGGCAAAGGGAGGCCCTGGGAGAGGATAGATAGGATCGTGCCGGCTGGCTCAGCTCGGATTGAGTCTTGACCCAGCATTCGAGCCTGTGCGGGTAGCAATGCAGCACGCACAACCTGCAGGACCTCAATATCAAACATTTGAGTACTCTGACCACGTCTTCTCGCTTCATCGACCCGAAGGGCTTAGACAACGAGCGGCATTACTGCACGAGGCATTCTTCCCAATGCGAGAGACCTGATAAGTGGGCGCGTAACGACGGGTATGTCATCGATGAGCCTCCGCGGCAGGATTTTGGGCTTGGCTTGTGACTTCGATGCTCAGTAATTCTCGCCAAGTGGGGGTGGTGCGCAACCAGTCGAGGCCGCCGCGACGAAGCGGTCCGCCAGCCAGTCCATGCAAGTTTGTAGTGGACGCGAGCTTCTTTTCTTTTTCTTTTGAGATGGGGGAGATGGGGAGATGGGGGAGATGGGGGCCGTCAAGCCGTCTTGTTTCTTCTCAAATGTGCTGGATGTCCCTCGTCTTGCCCAATCCTGGTTCTGAGGCAGAAGGTGCCAATTCCATCGATGCGTCGTGTTAAATGGCGATGTGGCCTTCTATCATCCAAGTAACGTTATCGCCCGCGCGTCCTCGCGCGTCCTGATCCTGTCCCATCAACTCCGTGCGGCACTCTCTCGCTTTGCCACGTCTCAATTATCCAAGGCTTCTCAAAAGGCAGGCAGACAGCCCCGATCAATTGAATTCTGGCTAGTTTGGTGGGTTGGAGAATAGATCTGATTCACGAATTGGCCATTTTGTGCCTGGGGCCAGGTACTTTCTTGGTCCTGTACAGCAGTCAACCACCACTCAAAAGCTGAGTGTACAGAGTACACGCAAAGGCTTTTGGAGTGTGATAAGTTGATCAAGGCACGCACACGGACCCGACAGCTAACAGGGACTGTGGCTTGGCATACATGACGGTACCTAAGATTTTCGTGGGCTGCTGTCGTCCACACCCTTGTGCCCCAAGCTGCCTTGTAGCGCTAGGTACAGGCGCAACCTAGGCACAACCACAAATCGAGCTGTCGCTCCTGTCGTGCTGGACATGCACCTCTTTTTTTCTCTTTTTCTCTTTTTTTTTTTTTTTTTTTTTCTTCTTCTTTTTCCTGCTCCGCTCCCCTTTCCATCAGGTCCCCTTTTTCGCCCTCTTCCTCTCCTCGATCTTTCTCCCCTCCCCGCTTCCCCTTCCCACCCCCTTCTCAGCCTGCAAACCTCTAGCCTAGCGCAACCTCAAACATCGGCACGAGAGCTTCTTGATCTTGAGCTCCTGCTGTGTCCTGTCGATTTTTTTCTTTCCCTGCTTCCCAACGCCGGCCCGGCCCTATCACCAGCTGGCCCAGTTCGGTTCGTGCATTCATCATCGCCGCCGAAATTCGCTGCAACATCAATAGGCGCGAGCCATTTTTATTTCTCGAGCCCCCGTTGCAAGCACGACCCACCGCATCGCCCCGACCTCCCACCGCCAATTGTTTTTCGACCGTCGAAAGCCAATACGCTTGATCGCAGTACTCACCCACCCCCAATTAGTGTTTTACCCCATTTTTCTCTCTTTTTCGTTTACTCGTGCCCTCCCCTTGTTTTCCCTCGCCACCCGCTGTGTCGCTAGACCACTGCTCGAATCGCGCTCGCCGTTTGCCGACGACGACGGCCGAATCCAATTGATCTCTTCAGGCGCTTGAAAATAACACAGTGTAAGTTGCTAATTTTATGTTTCTCCTGCACTGCGGGAGGGTCTCCCCTTGCCCAGTTGGAAGACGTGCAGGCTGTGTTTGGCGGCGGGCCGTCGTGTTAAAAATCTGAATTGGCACCCACTGTCATTACAACCACCCCAACAATGTGCCTTTTGGCCTGGAGAGACCCCCTAAAATGCTGTTGGAGCGTGCTTCGCCGCCACCGCTTTTCCCTCTCCTGCATCCAAAGGGTCCCTTTAAATCCCCACACCTTGTCCCAATCCCATCCAATTTCCCCATCCATTGCTCCTGAATTCCCGTCGTTTGTCCTGGACCGTTCTCTGTGTCCGAGAATGTTGGCTGGCGTTCTGGACAACAACTAACCTCCGCTTCGTTTTCTTCTCTCAATAGACGACGCAACAATACGCAACGCTATTCCGAGCCAGTTCATGTATTGAACAAGCACCCGGCCCTCCCCCTTTCGTCCCGGGCAGCACGCGTCGGCGTCTCGTCTTTTTCTTGAAAGCATCCAATTGCGACCAGGTTCGCCCTGTCCTTCGGTCGATAAAATAACTCAGCGTTTCCGGTTTTCTCACCCAATTCCGAAAAAATGGCCTCATCATCCTCAAATGTCGTCGGTGTCCATTACCGAGTCGGCAAGAAGATTGAGAGGGCTCTTTCGGTGTCATTTTCGAGGGCACCAATCTCTTGAACAATCAGCAGGTAGCCATCAAATTTGTGAGTATTGCGTGTCGCCCGTCCTTCTCCATCCGTGCTGGACGACCCAAAATTAACCTCGGATCGTGTGCCCTAGGAACCTCGAAAGAGCGATGCTCCTCAGCTACGAGATGAATACCGAACCTACAAGATTCTCGTGGGATGCCGTAAGTCACATCTAGCCAGCTCACTCACCACTAGGTGCTGGGCTACACAAGGTCTCGAGTTGGCCGGGCCCCTGTACTAACATGTCTGACAGCCGGTATTCCCAACGTCTACTACTTCGGCCAGGAAGGCCTTCATAACATACTCGTCATCGATCTTTTGGGACCTTCGCTCGAGGACCTCTTTGACCGATGCGGCCGACGATTCTCCATCAAGACTGTTGTCATGGTCGCTAAGCAGATGGTAAGCCCTTCTTCAGAAGCGGGGACAGAAAGGGATTGGCTTCGCTTGCCAAAGGGTCCGGAAAACTAACATGTTGTACAGTTGTCGAGGGTTCAAACCATCCATGAGAAGAACCTCATTTACCGTGATATCAAGCCGGATAACTTCTTGGTGGGCCGCCCCAAGACCAAGGCCTCGAATGTCATCCATGTTGTCGATTTCGGCATGGCCAAGCAGTACCGCGACCCCAAGACCAAGCAGCACATCCCCTATCGCGAGCGAAAATCCCTCTCTGGTACCGCTAGGTATATGAGCATCAACACCCATCTAGGACGAGAGCAGTCCCGACGTGATGATCTCGAGGCTCTGGGTCATGTCTTCATGTACTTCTTGCGAGGCGGCCTTCCCTGGCAAGGACTCAAGGCTGCTACCAACAAGCAGAAGTACGAGAAGATTGGCGAAAAGAAGCAGACCACCGTGATCAAGGACCTCTGTGAGGGGTTCCCTGAAGAGTTCTCCAAATATCTGACCTACGTCCGCAACCTCGGCTTCGAGGACACCCCCGATTACGATTACCTCCGGGACCTCTTTACTCAAGCTCTGCACTCCGTCGGCGAGGTTGAGGATGGCGAATACGACTGGGACAAGGTGTCTAGCGAGTCGGGAAAAGGCTGGGATTCGGGGAAGCACGGCCCCGGGTATCTGCACAACCCCAACGCGCGCCCCGGCCCTTCCCAGATGGAGCTGCATGGCAGCCGCCACATGACCAACTCGTCTCCTCACCAGCAAGCCCAGAACCTAACAGTCGGCCGTTTAAACGCCGCGCAACCCCCCTCCTTCACCGATCAAGCAGCTGAACAAGCCGAGAGATCGGTCAAACGTCCCCGGCGCTCTGGGCACGCCGATGGGCAACGGGGTGGGGGTCATCACGGATTGCCGACGCCCAACGGCTCAACTCAAGCTCAGTTCCAGAACAGCACTCAAAACCTCCCACAGAGACCGGCTCAGGCGCCCCATATGACTGCCCAGCCGCAGGTCAATAATGGACAGGCTGTGAACGGCGCTGCCAACCCGGAACCCACCGGCTTCCAGAAGTTCATCAAGACGATCTGCTGTGGTTAAGTGGCGCCATGTCCTTCCTAACCTTGTACATGTCTCGGTCCCTTTTTTATCTCTACTCTCTTTTGTGTGTGTGTGTGTGTGCATCTGGCGGCGGGCATCGGGGTTCGCCTCTCCTTCCGGCCCAGCTGTGTCAAGCCATAAGGGTTTTATCACACATTGGCTCTCTTGAAACCGCTCCGTTGACTCTCGTATGCATAACACTCCACATCGTTTGGCTGCGAACCCGGAGTTGGTGGATCGTGCCGGCACCGCCGAGTACACCGAAAGCAAGCTTGCCGCTTTTAGCATTTGCGACTCGATCACGATCATGACGATCCTTTGTTCTGGCGTCGGACGGCCTTCTCTTCTTATGAGTCAACTGTTTTCTCAACATCGCGACTGCTTCGTGTTCAGTTTCACCCTATCTCATCTCGCATTTCCTCGTTTAGTCTTGTTTCCTTTGGCGTCTCTTTTTTGTTTATCGTCTTTTTGTTACATCTCTTTATCCCTGGCATCGTCACGACACTCAGCAAATCACAAAAACGACCACAATCTCATCCACCCCTTGCTATGCTAGTCAACATCGCTTTTCCCCTTTGTCCTCACTCTCGTGCGCACATTGATCTGGCGGTGGATAGCATAACCTGGCAAAGCTTAACTAAAGGAACCGTTTTGCTTTTCCATTTTCACAGAGCCGATTCAACGAGCAATATTGCATGCAGGCTTGTTCGTGGTTCCCGGTGAACAAACTTGCGACAACCTCGGTTTAACTATCCCTCGTTCGTTCAGTACAAAACCAACCAACTGATCCGAATCCTGGTATGCAAGGGGGATTCAAGTTGAGACGCCATCACGTACCGGGCCCAAGTTTTAATGGTTATCTCGGCGACACCGTCGTGCTGGACTTCGCCAGACACGGCGTGTACTTGGCGAAGGCGGGCACCCACGTCTCGCGAGATATTCTTTTCTTATGTTTCTCTCCTTTAGTTGTTGCCCGTCTAGGATGTGGACTCTAGGCACCCACCACTCGTATCATCATCGCCATCTTGAAGCCAAAAGGGCGTCTCCGCATGGCAACAATGTGTCTCGGGATACAGGACGGCACTTGGGTGGCTCGCGTCTTCTCTTGCAGGGGTAGCAATGGATGAGGTGGCGGCGGGAGGAGGAAACGGGGTTCATTGTCATAATAGTAGTATAGGCCGCTGTTGATAGACTAAGAGTATACGGAAACTCAAGCATAATCTAAAACTTCAAACCCATCCATCCATCATTGTACTAATATTTCGGTCTTCACATGTGTATTCTTTGGGCAGTCGTCAGTTTTGGCTGACTCGTCCACACATCAGGGATACTTGATGTACATCTATCCATACACGTAAACGAGCGCTCATGGAGACTGGAAGCTCCAAGCGATACAAGACCACACAACATCGCCAACCCGAAGATGATGAGGGTCATATGTAAGAGGACTAGAAGGAGGAGATCGATATAAAACGCCTCAATTGAAACCTATGCACTCCGGATTTTCCTTACAATTATCTCGTTCACCAGGGAGAAAAGCCATGTTCCTCGACCTCACAATAGCAGGAGGGGGTTTTGGTAAGTTGCTGTTTGCACACCATAAGCTCCCCTCTCCTATCTCCCTTCAAGATTCCCAGCCAGTGGAACAGCTTACATCAATCGGCACATCTATCATTTTTGCTATCATGTATTAAGGCATTTCAAAGTAACACGGCATACGGCGAGGGCAAAAAATAAACTTAAAAAAAAAAAGTATAACAGCGGCCGCAGAGAACCCCACGACCCTTAGGGTATCACCGACGAGTCGGCTCTGTGGTGTTTTACATCAACTATTTTGTAGAAAGGTGGGTCTGCTGCGTGTGGGCGAGAGACGAGAGAGAGGTGGGTGGTAAAAGATAGGTGTATGTCTGCGTGTGCATGCGTGCATCTCGAGGTATAAAACAGCAAAGAGTAGCGGGAGTTGAAAAAGCAGCGCGCACTTTAGGTGAGCTTTTGCTTGATGAAGAAGGACCGTAGGTGAGAAAGCTGCCAGGTGCATGTCACGCCAAGGACGACGAGTTGAATGATAATCCAGCGAATGACACGGGCGTTGGTAGTCTCAGACTGGTCACGGAATTCGGCCTCCCGCTCCTACAAAAAGGGTGAGATCAAAAGGTTAGCATCATTCCTCAACAGACCAACGGTGGGCTTCCGTTGGTTGCATCACAAAACAGTCTTGACTTACACGCTGGAAGACTTGTTCCCTCCTAACATCGTTGAGTCGTGCGTTGAGGTCCTTGATGCGGCTAGCAATGTCTTCGATCTTGTTCTTGTCGGTGCTCTCGAGCTGGCTGGTCTCGCCGATGGCGAGGTCCAAGTTGAGACGGATGCCGCCGTTGGGGTTGTTGACGCTGAGCCAGCCGTTGCGGCCCGAGGAGGAGCTGGGGGTAAAGCAAAGCTTATGGTCGCCGGCATCGGCGGCGGTAAAGGTGAAGCGGCCGGAGCGGGAACCACGTTGGGAGACAACGCGGTGGTCGTTGTCAAAGACTTCCTGTAGCAGGGGGAAATTGAGGTGTTAGTCTCCTGGCTATGTGCGCGAGAGCAGAGCTTGGCCGCTGTCCCAAACAAAAGAAGAAGAAAAAGGACACAGAGGTTGGAGACATTCGATCCTCTCCTCAAAGGGGTTGGGAATAGATGCCAGAGGCAAGCTTACATCAACGGAGATATAGATGGTGATGCCCTCGTGGGAAACCCAAGCCCTCTGCTGCTCGTCCCATTCCTCAGCCGTGTAGTCGCCAACCACGAGGGTGTCCTTGGGAAGCTCCTCGAAGAAGCATCTCGGGGTAACGCCGTCAATGTAGAAGTAGAGCGCCTGAGCAAGGCCGCTCAGGGCCAAGAGGGGAAAAAGGACCGCATTTCGTTTCGTCGTCGTTGGCTCGCGGGAAGAGAAGCCGGGGTGTCGTAGTATGTCGTGAGTATGGGGGACCAGGCCAAGCCGAATTAGCCAATTGCAAAGTTAGTCTGCCACGAACACAAGATGTGGCAAAAATATTCGTCCCGGAGCACAATGGTAAGATGCGGCGGGGAGGACCGAAATATCAAGGGCGGGTTGAAGGGAATGGGTGATATTCTCGGAAAGGGGAAAAGGGTTCGTCGCCTGCCCGTTTCTTGCTGTCGAACTCCTGGCTAGCGCGCTCTCGATGCGAAGCTGCCACGTTCGAAATTTCCAGCCCAGGGGAGACATTGGTGTCACGTGATTGTGCTGAGGACACCACCCAAGCAGACTCCAGGAGCCGTCATGGACAGCTCAGTGATAACGCCCGCAACAGAATCCAAGCTCAGGCCTCCCCCAGTGGTAGGTTGTCGGCAGATTCTCGGCTCAGAAGCTTCTCTCCCCAAAAATGTCCCGTCGCGTCAAAAGAGTTCGAGACTCGAGAGAGGCACCTGCCAAAAACTTTTGAAGATATTTGATTCCTTATTATCACAATCGAAAATCGTTCTCCACTCACATTTTGAGCGCTAGGTCCTCGCGCTTCATCACAAAGCCATCTCCCACGACTTCGAAATCATCGAAACGCGACCGCGATAACAAATGCTTTAATTAGGAATATACGGGGCTTTTTTTTCTTCTTATTTCTTTTTCGGCTCATTCTTAAATCGCAGTACTCATCCATCCGCGACCGAGGGTGACGAACTCCGAACGTTATACCATCCCATCCCCTCCCGAGCACAGAACCGCCTCACCCTTGCACCCAGACGGGGCGGGGCGTGAAAACAATGTCTTCCTCTGACGTCCGCGATGTTCTGAACCTACCAACAGACGGCACCGCCCGCCCATCCAAAAGGCAAAAGCTTCAGGGTCACGGCCAAACCTTAAAGGCCTTGCAAGAGAAGTGCAGAGTCTTGGCGGCGATAACCCGATTGTTATTGCCCCAGAGGTTACATTTAAGAAGAGGAGGCTGATTAACAAGAAGCCCGCGGCATCGTGGGAGTTGAAACCTTTCGGAAACTCGGCGCGCGATGACCCCAGCTTGGTCTTGAGACATTGGAGGCGGAAAACGGAGGGTTCCGGTGCGCTTGCGCCCACGACAGAAGGCGATCTTTCAAACGGCGGTGGAAGAAGGGGAGGCGAGGGCGTGTGCGAAGACTCTGCCTTTGCCAAATACAACGTTCACGTCACCGTGCCGCAATACAGCGACGATCAGTACCGGCTCAACCTCCAGAGCACCGAATGGACCAAGGACGAGACGGACTATCTTCTACTAGTAGCCAAGGAGTTCGACCTGAGGTGGCCGGTGATATGGGATCGATACGACTTCGTTCCCTCAGCGCTGAACGGCGAGGCCGGGGCAGACGGAGATGAGAGTAAGGCCATCATCCCGGCGCCCAAGGAGCGCACGTTGGAGGAGTTGAAGGCGCGATATTACGAGGTCGCATCCAAGATGATGGTTCTCCAAAAGCCCGAGCAGTATATGACGGACGCCGAGAAAACCTTGTATACTGTAATGTCTAAATTCGACGCCTCTTCCGAGGCGACACGGAAACAATACGCCGCCGCCTTTTGGAGAGATCGAGAGACGAGGCCAAAGAGGAAGAGTCCCTCCTGGTGGAGGTGCGGCGCATCATGGCCCGCAACGAGCGGTTCAACGAAGAGCGCCGCGAGCTTTATAGACGCTTGGATTATCCTCACACGGACCAAGACATTAGCAGCTTCAAGTCGAGCGCTGGGCTGCAGACCCTCTTGCAAAACCTGTTGGCTGTGGATAAGTCGAAGAAGAGAAAGTCGATTGCGCCAGCGGAGGGGACCAGCCCTTCGACCGCACCCGCGCCGCAGGCGACGCCAGTTACCGAGACCGCCCCGAACCGGCGGGATAGCATCGCAGCGTCAACTACCACTACCACAGCGGCAGCACCGCAAGGTCCAGGACACAATCGGAGAGAATCGAGCAGCACAGTACCTACCCAAACACCGACGACGACTTCAGGGAAGAAGGGCACTGCGCCGCAGGAGAAGAAGAAGCTGTCCCAGCAAGAGCAGACTCTCTACGGTGTTTCGCATCACGACAGGCTATCGTCGGGACCGACCTTTAGAACAGAAAGGATCAATAGACTTTTAGTCAAAGGTCTGGCCAGATGCAGCTACGAATCACCAACGTTCTCACCGAGTTGGACTTCCCAGCGAGGCTTACGATGCCCACTTACAACATTACCAGCCAGTACGAACGTCTCCTCTCGTCTATAATCAATCTACTCGACGTTAGGAAACAAGGCGACAAGCTTGACTCCGAGCTCAAGGTTGAGCAGCAGAAGAAAGCTCTACGGGAAGCCGAAAACAAACCAGCAGAGGAAGCCAATGCTAGTAAGGATAAAGAAGGCGCCGAAGCAGGAGCAACCGAAGATTCTGCGGCGAATGCTAGTGCGGCTACGGGCGAGGTGTCGGAGAAGTCTGGCGATGCCGCGCAAAGCGAAAAACGGCTGAGAAGGCGGAAGCAGCCACTGGCGCCGACGGCGCAAGCGGGGGTCAGATGACAAGAAGGAGGCTGCGGCATCTGCAGCAGCCCCCGATAGCCCCCAAGGATGGGGCCAGCTCGGCAACAAATGGCAACCAGGATAAGGAAAAGCTTACAAGGCCGGGCAGTAGTGGGCACAAGCGGAGCGCCAGCGTGCTCAGCACGACGAGCGATAAGAGCTCGAAGAGGCAAAAGAAGTAAGGGTACATGTACTCCCAAGCAAGTTTTTTCAATTCCGGGGCCATGGCGTTCATTTGGGCTGGGCAAATGGGAGTTAGATTGGGTGTCCTTTTTTTTTTTCCTCCCCTTTATACCGGGCAGGAGGAGGTTCAATTAGATGGTAGCCAGGTCTAAAGATGATCGAGGAGCAAGAAGGAGGGAGGAGGAGAGGAGACACGATGATGATGGTGGCGGTGAAGTTCCTCTCACACCACCAGGCGCAAAGCATTCGCAATTCATCATGAGATATGTATAATCTACTTGGAGAGACCCTGCGGTTGGTCTCTTTTATTTCCAACTCCCACGTTCGTCCCATCACCCGTGGACCTGGAGTAACATCAAGTGTGCACCCTTCAAGTGTGCCGCCTTCCAGACTCGTAGACACACCGACGAGACCCCTTCTATCACCGCCACTCTTTAAAAGCGAGGTGATATGTGACAGGCGTTGGTTTTCTCTCTCGTAGCAAAGGCGAGACGAAAGAGATAATACCTCTCAAAGGCAAGATCAATGGCGACAGCAAGGCAAGCGAAGATAAAGCGCGGAGGCAGGACGGGGAGCGGGGGTTGGCGTGGAGGGCAACACGCATCACCATGTCACAGAAAGGCACAGCAGGAAGCTTCAGGACAGGGCGGGTTTGAGAGGGGACCATCAAATGGGGGCGCTGAGGGAGCAAACGGCGGCGTCGTCGCGGTGGCTGGTCAGCAAAAAATGGGGAGCGTTTGAGTTCGTGGCTCGCGGTTTCCGTTTGCCTGGCCGCACGAGGATGCTCACCGCGGCCGCCCGGGTGCGACTTAGCCGCCTGCAGCCTTTTTGTTTTCTCGGGGATGACAGCAGAGGAGCACGAAAGGGGGTATAGCTCTGTCTCGAAGTTTGGGGTGTGGCGATAGGCGACTAACACGCATCGCGCTCACATGTTGATGCTCTCTTTTCCAATGCTCTTCTTGTTTTTTTCTCCTCCTCGCCATTTCCCGTGATAACTTGCTTCATCTTCTTCTATTTTGATCTTGATCTTGGAGAACGAACCGGACCCCCTTTCCTCTTTCTTACTCCGTCTCGTCTGTTGGGAACATTGAAGTGATGGAAATGCGCCATGGGGAAGGGAGCATTAAAGGGCCCGCTGACGACAGTCACACTACCATATGCATTGGATTTTTTTAAATAGAGCGAGGGATCTTTGTACCAGAGTGCTTTGCGCCGCTTGTTGCGCCCCCTCCTTACACCCCCTCCCGTCTCTCCCCCTCGCAAGTATAGAAGCCGCGAGCATGGTGAGATTTAGACGAGAAAGGAGGGCAGGGGAAGCGGACAAGACAAGCGAGCGGGTGTTGGAGAGAGAGGCGGTGACGACGACTAACGGCCACACACACACACACACACACACACACACACGCACACACGCACACACACCCCAAGGACAGCGGCGGTTTGTCCATTCGGCACGGAGAACCGGTGAGGCAACAATCTATTCACAATGCGTGTGGATCCCTCACGGGTCATCACTTCATCAAAGCTTGTCAAGGAGGAGGAGAGCGGGGTGGCGGGGGAAGGGGGAAGGGGGTAAGCGCAGCCTTTTTTCTTACGCTTTGCCCAAGGCCAAATTAAAAGAAGAAGACGAAAAGAACAAGGAAATAAAGATAAGAAAAAGGGTGAGAGTGGCATGAAGAGTGTGGGCAAGTGGGCAAGTGGGCGAAATGAGGCCCGCTGGCCCACTATATTATCCGACTATTTCGCACAGAATCAAAAAGGGCGAGAGACGGAAAGTGACATGACATGGAGCAAAGGGAGCGCGGGTCAGAAACCCGAATGCGGAAGAGGCTGATGGAGAGAGAGTCCAAAGTCGAGAGTCACAGTCACAGTCGCGGAGAAGCGAGCGTGGATAAAGTCCGTCCGTCTTAGAAAGAAGCTCGGCTTCCGGCTTAATTATTGTACCTGGCATGAGGGAAAACGAGAGAGACTGAGGAGAGGGAGCCAGACACCAAAGGGTTCAATGTTCGGTTGACGGGCAAATAACCCTGCGGAGATGGGTCACAAACGGTAATATTCCCCAGGGTCTTCTGGGTTTCCTGTGCGGGTTTTTCTTTCTTCACATATCTATCTTCCTTCTCCCGATTGTGTACAAACCCCACCTTTATGATTCTGCGCTGGTGGCTGAAGGGAGCGGGAAAATGGAGCTGGCGAAAAGGCATCGAGGGAAGAAAACCCTCAGCACATCAATTGTAAACAAAAAGCAGCGTGAAATCGAGAGGGCTCTACACCAGGGTTCCGCGGAAAGGGACGATGGGTGGTGGAAACGCAAGGGATATCTATCCGGTATAATTGAAATTCTCGGGCTTTGAGGTCGTTGAACGATGGGAGATCAATTTGGTTGGCGTCTATGATCAAGGTAAGTGTACTTTGGATTGAGGGTTTGCGGCATTCTTATTTTTAGAAACAAACAAAACGGATCGCCTAACCCTGGGAACAAGCAAGTCCATGTACCAACCCGCTCCCCGACCGTCCCTCTTCCCCCTTTTTCTTCCCTTTTTCCCCCATTTCGTTTGTTGGTCGCTCAGAGACGCACAACTTTGGGACAGGGAGGAACAGTGAGACAGGATGGATGAGACAACTGACAGCCGACCAGGAGCCTAGCAAATGCAAAATGCGCGGGACATGGGGAAGAAAAGGGTCGCCCATGTTGACCAAGAGCGCAGGCTGGCAGACTGCCTTGAATCCCGACTGGAACCAACCGTGGTCAGGGGAACGAAAGGGAGAAGGTGGGCGGCTTGAAAATCTAAAAATATCCGTTACCAATCGATCGTGGATGTGGGATGGATGGCTGCTATTCCGGGGAATGACTTCAATTCCCGCCAACACCCACAGACTTTCCCAACAGGGTTTTTTGCCCTGCTACCTTTGCACCCAACGTACGTGTATCGATGGACCCAACATCAATGTCCACCCCCTCCCTTTTTACCTTGATAAACGGCCTATTTTTCTCTCTCTTCCCTTTTTCGGGATGAATTGGATTCTGGGGTATGAGTCTCGATCCCGGGGTCAGGAGAGCCGAGCCGTGTTCCATGGAGTGTGTGTGTGTGTATGTGTGTGTGTATGTGGACGTGCGTTGTTGGTATAAATCCGGTCGTGCGTGGGGGAGGGTAGGTGCCGCAGAGCAAAATAGCAACGGCAACTACACAAGGAAGAAAGGGAAAATTTTTTTTTGATTGATGGATGGTCACAGATCAAAACAGGAAGTTGGACGGGGATGAGCCTTCAAAGAAGGAGGCGAAAGGAGGGCCCGGAGGAAGAGCAGCTATCCCGGACGAAAGGCCGCGGTCCTCCCAGCACCAGCGCGGTCGTAGGAACCGATGTCCTTGCGAATCTCGGCTCCGTTTCCCACCCCCACCCCCTGCTATTATTATGTGGTCCTTAAACTTTTCATGCTAGCCCATGCCCGCGATTCCCGGGTGCTTGGTGACCAGTAGTCTTTCGGAAGCAAGGGGAATTTCGCACTCGCATTGAACGAAGAGGGTGATAATAAAACAAATGTAAGGGAGGAAATGGGTGGGAGGAACGGGGGTCTGGCCCCGGTTCTGGGTCTCTCGGTCGCCGTGTCCACTGGCCATGAAGAAAACGAGTCAAAACCATCGAGCCAGTTTATATCTCTCTCGGGCTCTGGCCGTATTTGGGTCTCGGACCGTGGGGTCTTGGTCTTGTCGTCTTTGTCTCCCAAAGTTCCCATGTCCATTCCTCGTTTGCTTCTATTCTCGGAGCCGGCTATTTAGATTGATTGATCAACCGCACTTTCTTCTCAAACAGGCCCGGAATCTGTTTATTCTTTTTGATAAGTCGGGGGCCAACCGCGGGTCCGCCCTCTCTCTCTCTCCCACTCTCTACCCTACCTTACCCTTTCAATATGCGTCCACGGTCGTGTTGCCCTGAAACGGTCATGTTTAAAATAAGCGCGGATTAGGGTGTGGGGTATAGGAGGCCAAGTAACCTCCGGCTTCTCGGTTGCATGGCTTGCATGCATATCAAAGTACCTTAAAACCAGCCCTTTTTTCATGGCAGAACTAATCTTGGATCGTTACGGGGGTGACCGCATCGCCAAGCGACGGAGCCGACGGCCATTGTGTTGGTTTGAAAACCAAAGAAAAAAAGAACACAAGGAAGGCACGCGGCGAAGGGCGGCAGTAGAGGAAGGGACAAGGCCCTCGACGTCGTGGGGTATATTTTTAGATGTCGGGAAATCGTGCCCTCGGACATCTACAAACATGGAAGGCCTGACGTGCATCTCCCGTACCAAACGGCGTGGAGACCGCCTCTTACATCATATGGGGAGCGTGCTCACTAGGCCCGATATACCGGGGCCTGGATCTCGTGCCATGTGTCTAGCTGGCTAGGAGTCACGGTGGTGGCGATGGCAGGGGAGGGGCGTGTAGTCGCGGAGGAAGAGAGGCGGAGAGATACGATAGGGGATGTAGGTGCTGTTGAACGCAACATATCTTATTAGGCGTGGACACTGGAGAGCCAGCCCAGCCGGGGATGCGGGGAGCACGATGGCGACGAGGGAGTGCGGGCATCCCGTAGGCTGCAAGCAAGGCGCCCTACCCTCGAGGGGGGTTTCCTGTTCTGCATGTCGCGTTACAGACACGCCTCGTTGGATCAAGCCAACTGGCGCAGATCGTGTGCTCTCCTTCATGAGGCGGATGACAAGTGGTGATGCTCACTGGCCCTCTACGTCCCATCTGTTGAAAGCTGCACCCCTTATCTGTTTCCCATCACTGCCGCTCGGTGAAACCTGGCCCCGGGGAGTCTGGGCGGCT